CTCCTTCATGATCAAGGTGTCTCCCCTGCCAGGTAAGTATGCTTTGCTTCGCGCCGGGACCCGTTCCCATCATCGCTCCACTCACTTCAGCTCACGGTGGCCCATAGTACGTCGCCCACTTCCTCCAGATCACGCTTCTCACACACGGAAACTTGCTGACAACACCGCGAGCGGAGGCCGTGGGAGGCACACACACTCGCGATCCTCCGTGCGCCGCACTTGTCGCTTCCCCACAATGCCCGGCGCCGGCGCCTCATCTGCATAAGGCCCGCGGAGCTCCTCCTCTTTCTCGGCCCTTCGCCGCATGGACAGTGTGCGCTGGGCGGGGCCTCGCTCGCCCGGCTTTCTGCGGAGGCGGGGACGGGGACGGGGCGGGGGGACGACCGTGGGACGCTGCTAGTGCACAACTGCAGCCTCCGACTCTTGACGTCTCTTCGCCCGCCGCTTTCATTTTTCAATGTTTGGCGGCTGAATTAGGATTCAATTCATTTACATTAGGACAGTATCGCTACTTGCTGGTTTCCAATGGCAGCCGCTGGAAGGCACAAGGTTAACTCTTTCTAATCTTGTTTATAATCCAATCCTTCGTTTGGATTGACTGAGATGAATTGACCAAATTACAGCCTATCTAAATCTCAGTTATCTACAGTTAGAAATAACTGCACCTTCAGAATTTCTAGGGCCATTATAATCTTTCCTTGGTTCACAATGGGCACACAGCCCAGCTGCAGCCTCCAAGTCTTGGCGTCTGCCCGCCCACCTCTTCATCTTTCAGTGTTTCGGGGACTCTGCTGATTTTCACCAGAGCCTTCACTGGTTTTAACGGTGCTACTCTTCCTGTCTTGCTTCAGTTAACCGGATGTATGCCCTGGACGGCTGAAATGTTGATCAATTAAGGCGAGGGGAAAAAGCTCCTCGGAGTAGGTGTGATGGGGTAGAAGTGCCAGGCCAGTTGACATTTTTGACATTTTATTAAGATTTATAGGCCGCCCTTTTCCCTGAGGGGACTTGGAGAAGTTATTCCATGCATCTCCCCCTGGGAAGGAGTGGCATTAAGAGGCTGCAGTCAAGCCCATTCTTGTCCTGAAATGTAGCCTCGGGGTGCAGCTATTTCATAAAACATTTTCATCTTTGAGCAGATATGGACAATGTTCCAGTGTTCCTTTAGGCACCACTTAGGCCTGTGCATTTCAAATACTGGCCTATGGAATATAGGCGGGTGGGTATAAACTCCCTCCCTCATTGTGAGAGATTGCTTTATTACTTCACACCTTGTAGGTTACCTGCAAGTCCTCATAGAAGAGTGGTGGTGGTGATGATGGGGCAGGCCTTGTGCATGGAAC